GCCTCTGTGAAAGCTAAGGATGACTATTGCGTTTGTGGTGCAATCAGAACGTTGCGTGTGTTGAGGTTGTTTTAACGCAAACCAAAGATGCCTTTTAAAAACCAAGTTTGCATCATATTCTTATGCAGGCCAGTGCTGTGTGTGAGGTAATTTAAGGTGGTTCTGACAAGTGTCGTCGGCATCTTCATATCCGGTCACATGGGTGGCAAGCCACTCCCATCCGGTCACATGGGTGGCAAGCCAATCCCACAAAGGAAGCCACACCCACAGAGTAGGTTCGAACAATTTTTGAAACTCACCACTGCTTCCATCCTTCCGAGGTGGATAAAATGAGGAGCCAAATTGTTGGGGGCAAGAAGCTGGCTCTGTAAACTGCTTAGAGGGGGGGGGGGCGTAAAGCACTGTAAAGCGGTATATAAGTCTAAGTGCTATTGCTAAGAGAGAAGGAAAGTGACTGACCCCAAACCCAGCTGATCTAGCAATAGCATTTGGGTTATATACTGTACTGTCCCATAGGGCTTTACAGCACTCTCTGAGCTGTTTACAATGTAAACATTATTTGCATATTGCCCCCAACAATCTGGGTTCTCATTTTACTTGGAAGGATGGAAGACCGAGTCAACCTTGAGCACTATCAAGATCGAACTCCAGGCTGTGGGCAGAGTTTGCCTGCAATCCTGCATTGCAACCACTGTACTATCAGCGCTCTTGGTGAAAAGCTGAGGGTTACCTTGGATCTGAGCATATCCAACTTGCTACCTAATGCAACTACATTTAGAGTTGGTAAGTCTTTGTTAACATCCAACAAGTGGATGAAGACACCGTGAACTTAACTAAGGTAGTTCAGTCTGCATATTTATTTCAGTGTGCATGCCTTTATTCAGTGTTATTTATTCCTGTATCTATTTATTAATCCTGTTTTGACGGATCTAAATCGCTTTCCATCTGTGTGGAGAACTCCAATTATTGATATGGATGCCCAATGCCACAACATTTAAATAAATAAACCATGAGCTGAAATTCCACATCTGGGAATTCACTAACCCTTGGTATCCAAACAGGGGTGAAATGGTCTGAAAGCTGCTTCCACAGGTGCTACTGCACAGCGCTGAAAAAGGATTAAGAAGCCTTTTCTGAGTCTGCAACGGTAAGAAGAACAGCAAGGTGGGGGAAACAGTTCTGCCAAGTGATTTAAATTCGCTAGGAACCAGGATTTCTTGCTTTCTAGCAAATATAACTCGTGCGGCACAGCTGATTGTCACAGAGCTGATCGTCGGAGCTACCGGTTTACTGGTTTGGGGGAATCGGTAGCATTTTTTTCTACTGGTTCGGGCGAACCGGTAGCATTTTTTTCTACTGGTTCGGGCGAACCGGTAGCATTGTTCACTAATGGTTTGGGTGAACTGGTAGCATTTTTTTACTACTGGTTCAGGTGAACTGGTAGCATTATTTTCTACTGGTTTGGGCGAACCGGTAGCATTTTTACTATTGGTTTGGGTGAACCGGTAGCATTTTTTTACTACTGGTTCGGGCGAACCGGTAGTATTTTTTTACTAATGGTTCGGGTGAAAAGGTAGCATTTTTTTACTACTGGTTCGGGTGAACTGGTAGCATTTTTTTCTACAGGTTTGGGCAAACTGGTAGCATTTTTACTATTGGTTTGGGTGAACCGGTAGCATTTTTTTACTACCAGTTCAGGCGAACCAGTAGCATTTTTTTACTACCGGTTCAGGAGAACCAGTAGCATTTTTTTACTACTGGTTCAGGAGAACCAGTAGCATTTTTTTACTACCGGTTCAGGAGAACCAGTAGCATTTTTTTTACTACCGGTTCAGGCGAACCAGTAGCATTTTTTACTACTGGTTCGGGCGAACCAGTAGCATTTTTTTACTACTGGTTCGGGCGAACCGGTAGTATTTTTTAACTACTGGTTTGGGTGAACTGGTAGCATTTTTTAACTACTGGTTTGGGTGAACCCATAGCATTTCCCCCCTGTATCCAATGATAGAGAGATCTTTCTTATGAAACCACCCAGAAGCATCTGTGAACCAATGAAAAGGAACATAGTTCCAGTCGTACGGTTGAAGTTTAAACTTTTTTTTTATCCCACTGTACATGGCCATTTTAGAAGCTGCTGTTGGTAGTTTTTTTGCAAAACATGACAGCTTTAGATCAGGGGATCTGTGCAGCCNTTGTCTGTTAATTAAATGCCGTAATTTATCTCTGGCTCGGAGTGTGCTTTGGTGTGGAACGAGGGGGGTCAGAACACCCTACTAAATACTATTATTTAATATTTTAAGAATTACTCATTATTCCACCATAACTTCAATGTTCCAAATGTGTAGGATTACTAATAATGCCAAGTATTAACAATATTCAATCAATCCCTGGAGTTTATCTCAAAATCCCCACAATTTCCAATCCTTAATGTTTTAAATTAAACAGACTATTAATGTTAATAATACAATTAAATTACCTAATCCTAAATTTCCATCTACTGATTTTTTTTTGGACAAGGACAGAAAAAAGGCAGTGGAAATCAAGAGGCTTGGTTTAGTGGTTAAGGTGGTAACCTAGAAACCAGGAGACTGGAGTTCCAGTTCCCCTTAACAAGGGAAGCTGGCTGGGTGACTTTGGGCTAGTCATTCTCTCTCATCCCAACCCACCTTACAGGGCTGTTGTGGAGAAAATAGGGCAAGAAAGTGTGTTTTCTGCCCTGAGTTACTTATTAAAAAAAATAAAGGCGGGATAAAAATCAAATAAATAAATAGCCGTTATTTTTTCTGACAGCATCCTGATGAATAAATAGCACAATAGATATTGCTGTTCTTTGCAACGGAACATAGGATTTCTTGTTTTTATATCCTACAAGTACATTCGTACAGTCAAAATGGATTTTGCCTGATTTATAAAATATAGTGCCAAAACAGCATGTGTTTATATAATCACAGGAGAAGAAACCAATGTATAAATCGCAGCAGTTTATTCATCAAAACAGATTCAAACCCAGTGCCTAATTTACCCTAGTATGCAATATGTCCTTATAGCACATGTTTAGCCATTTTACGTCTGATCCAAATGATAAGGAAAAGGATATGAATCCTATAAAACATAAGCCATTCACAGCTGTTTTGGGGTGAGATCCCCTTGAAATGAAATAATGTTTTATAAAACAAAGAGATGTTTTTTTAATTGTATCAAATATTTTTTAAAATCCTATTTTCCTCTCTGAGGTACTTGCTTTCAAACATTCAAACTTTGACATAAAACATGCCTGTTAGACACACAGTGAGATCAATCAGGCCAAATCTAGGTAGCTGTCCTTATCAGGTAGGCCAGACTAAGAAATCAAGGCCATATAAGTGGCAGGGCTGTTTTTATTGTAACAGTTATAATAACAGACCAGGGATGAAATTCAGCAGATTCTGACAGGTTCTGGAGAACCTGTAGCGGAAATTTTGAGTAGTTGGGAGAACCGGCAAAAACCACCTCTGGCTGGCTTCAGAGTGGGGTGGAAATGGAGATTTTGCAGTATCCTTCTCCTGCCACGCCCACCAAACCACGCCCACAGAACCGGTAGTAAAAAAAATTTGAATTTCATCACTGTAACGGACCTTTGCAAGTCTGAATGTGCTTCCATCCTCCCTCCCTTTATCTTGGTGTGGACTAGGGAAGGGCTTGTCTGAAATGTTTTCATTTCTTAAGAATTGGCAGTTGTCTGCCTTAGTAGTGGCTGTTACTCTTGAGTAGGGGTGTCAAACTTGATTTCAATGAGGGCCGCATCAGGGTTGTGTGACCTCGGGGAGGCGGAGTGGGCGTGGCCAGGGGGGGGCGTGTGGCCAGCTCAATGTCACTCATGTCAGGGGCACTTGTGATGGTCCAAGCGCTCTGCCAGCGAAAACAGGCTACTGAGCTCCGTTTTCAGCTACGATGGATTCCTACAACCTCTGCCAGCGAAAAAGGAACTCAGGAGAACCCTCCCAACCTCCGTTTTCGCTGGCAGAGGCACCGCAGGCCTGTGTTACCCCATTTCAAGGGTGGCCCTGTGAGCCAGATCTAAGCACCTTGAGTTTTACACCCCTACTCTTGAGAAAGGCCATTGCCTATGGCCTCTACACTAATATACTATTTTGTACATTGTCTAGCTGTGATTCTCTGGGGTCCCTACACCAGATCTGCCCTACAACTGGAGATTCTCTCAGTGAGGGAAAGGAAATACGAATATGGAAAGAGCTTACCAAAAACAGTTTGGTCCAAAAACAGTAGCAAGGTTGGAAACAGTCATTTTGTTCTCAGAATGATGCTCGGCAACCTGTTTCAGGAAATGGCAAAGGTACTTAAGGAGACAATAGTGAGTCTCGGGCATCTGTCTCAGAAGGTCTCTTAAACCGCTAGTCTCCAGACCACACTTCTGGCTGGCTGTAAAGAGAGAAAGAAAACATGATATACTGTACTTATTCCGTGGTCCATATCAAACAAAATGAGCAAAAATGTACTCTACTGAATTTTTAAAAAAAAGAGAAAACAGATAGTAATGTGAA